TCCCGACCCCTCCTTCTCCACTTAAATAGTATGCCCTGTCGCAGTTTGGTTCGGCACCAGCGTGTACAAATGGATACCATACCAAAGAAGGATAAGAGCGCTGTTTACATCTCTTATTGCCGCCATGCAAACCTCTCATTAACCACCAACCCCCGCAATTCGAATCAGCAGCGGAGTTGGGAGCGATTTCAGCGCGCGATCCACGGAAGGCGCGCGGAGTGCGAAGTGCATTTCCCTCACCCTCCGCCTTCGTACCACCCTCCGTTTCCTGGACAGCCTGTGATTTTGATTGTTTTGCGACCCCGCGGGCTATGCGCGCCTGGCACTCACGGGCACGATGAGGCCAACGCCAGACCGTGCGAGTCCTCGTGAGAGCCCAGCTGCAAGGGCAGCAGCAGCTGTTGGCCACGTGCCGGTCTCCGGCCCACGTGGGCGCCACGACGCCCAGGTTTCTGCACAGCCGTCTGGCACGGGCCAGTATTCCTCCTCCTCCTCCTCCTCCTCCTCCTCCTCCTCCTCCTCCTCCTCCTCCTCCTCCTCCTCCTGCTCCTCCTAGCCATTTCCAGGTTTCAACTTTGGGAACCTTTGGGTCGGCGCACTTGGAAGTGGCGCAACCGACTCGAGCCAAAGTCAGACATCCTACATGTCACGCCATGGCGCGTCGGGGCAGGGCCAGAGCAAGACCTGGCAGTGTCGCGACCCCGCGTGTGCCTTCGCCAACTTTCTCTTCAGGTCCGCCTGTCGGGAGTGCGGTTCGAGGGCGCCACAGCACGTCATCAATCAGCAACGAGAGCAGCGGCAGCAGAAAACTCCAGTTGGGAACGGCAAGGCGCAGCGGGCCAATGCCTGGCTCAACGGTCCTCCTGTCCTCCAGAGCCAAGGCGGCTCAAGGGCCGGGCGCGCCAACGCCAACGTCACGGAGTTGTCAAACGAGGATATCATCAAGCTGCTCAAGTCACGAGGGCTTCAAGCGGGCTCGGAACTCGACACCAAGCTCACTGAAGTGCTCAAGAAAGCAGAGGAGCCAGGGCCCGCAGACCTTGGCTCCAAGGGGCTCCAGGACTTGCTCCAGCGGCAGTCGCGGAAGCTCAAGCAGATCGAGGGGTCCACGGAAAGAGTGCAGAACGCCAAGGCCGCACTCGAGGAGGCTCAGCGCTACTACGAGCAGGAGTGCCAGCAGCTCAAGGCGCACCAAGACAACCTCTCGGATACCGAAAAGTTCATCAAGAAAGCCCAGGCCGCCACCGTTTTGTCCGAGCCTCCAGAGCAAGATGGCGAGTCTGATCCAAAGCATGAGCTCCAGATGCTGGAAGTCCTGGAGCTGGCTGTCAAGAAATACACTTCTCGCTTCGCCATCGATGCCACTGCGGTCCTGGCGGCCACCGAGGCGAAGAAGGTGGAGTTCACATCGAAGTTGCCGAAGGCTGAAGAGCCTTCTCCACCTCAGCCTACTACTGGGACTGATGCTTCACCTGGTGGCGCTGGTGGGTCAGATGCAGACATCATCGTCCTCGACCCAGACGACAATGAGCTCAAGGCGAAGCTCAAGCGAGCTGGGTTCGATTCCGCTGATGATCCAGAAGCCCTTCGCAGGTTCTTGGCAGACATTACAGGGCACGCCAAGCGACAGAGAGTGGGGTAGCAGCCCACCCATTACATCCAGTATTGTTCTTTGGACGCTCAATCCCAGCACGTGGTCAGCTGCGCAGGCCATGTTGAAATGGGCGAAACATTAACATGAAGGTGGGCCAGGCCTCCCTGACGTTCTCTGTCTCCAGGAGCATCGGCTCAAAGATTCGCCCAGGCACCAGAGTGCCGTCAAGTGGGCACAGCAGCGTGGATTTCAATCCTCCATGCCCAAAGCAGATATTACAGGGCCAGGCCCTACGGAGTCCAGTGCTGGACGCGCTGTGCTCAGTCAGCTGCCAGCAGACAAGTTGGACTTGCGTTGTGGGAAGGATCTGCCGTCTTCCAGGATTGCGGCATCCATGATCAATATTGGGCTTTCTATTCCCTTGGTGATACTATCAGTATACCTTCACACCAGCGGCGGGCTCGCAGGTGAGAATATAGAGCTCCTCGGCAAGTTGTTTCAAGCAGCTGACAAGCTACAGCTTCCGTGGATAGTGGCTGGTGATTGGAACCTGTTGCCAAGTGATGTGGATAAGTGGGCGAAACTTGCGCAAGGAGAAATCAGTTCCTCAGGTGAGCCTACCTTCGGAGCGAGGGAGCTGGACTTCTTCATCTGCAGCAGAGTACTGGCGCCTTTTGTGGATTCTGTTTATATTGTTCCTGGTGCCCCAGCAAAGTCTCACGCGCCAGTGGCTTTGAAGCTCAGCGGCATAGGAGTGCAGGCCAAGGTTCCTCGCACGCCGGTACCCAGGAAGTTCCCCATCGAGAAGCCACCCCCTGTACGCAGAGCGCCCCCTGAGGCTCGAGGGGATCAGTGGCCGTGGCAGATTGGAGCTGAGTACCCACCTGACCTTCAGCAAGCCTGTCAAGCGTGGTTTCGACATGTCGAAACCTATCTTCTGGATGTTCACGATAGTCAAGGTTGGCGCGGGCAAACCTACACTGGCAGAGCAGAAGGGCTTCGAGTGCAGCATGTGGAGCTTGACCAAGCCTGGAAGAGCGAGCTGCGGCAGAACACCACGGTCGAGGGCAGGAAGTGGACATCATTCTACTCGGCTTGCATGAGGCTGCATGCCATAGGTTCTGAGCCCCGCGCCAAGAAATATTCTCATCTTGCCGCGCAGCAGCGGCAAGAGCGCACTGTCTATCGAATTGCTACCCCGCCGTGGCCCACCGAGGGGCCACTGGGAAGGTGGCAGCACGTGCCCAGGAGTGCCCTGGTGACGCTGCTCTCTGATGGTGGGGATGAGGCTCTCTCCTTCCTCTTGGGCCTGAGGGGTCACCTCTCTCACCTCCAAGCGAAGGCCAGGGCGGCTGGCGCCAAAGCCCGGAGGGCTTGGGCCAAGGAAGCCGTCAAGAATCAAGGGGGAGGGCTGTTTACGCCCATGTTCGGGAGCCTCTGCCCGACACGCGGATTTTTTCGGAGGCCACGGAGCCAGCGCCGCCGCTGCCTGTCTCAGGGCAAAAGGCGGTGGACAGGCTTCTAGAGCAGCGGGAGCCGCTCTGGAATGCTCCTAAGAGAGATGATGAATCGTACCCGAGATTCTGGTGTCCTGGGGCCCGCCCCGCGAGGCCCTCGGAGGCTTCCTGTGGTTCTGTTTCCGACCAGGGGTTTCTGACTTCTGGGGGTCTGGACCCTTGGGTTGAGCTGCCAAGGGCCACCATCTCGCAGCTGCACTCTGTTCTGTCTTCCTACTCGGGGGGCCTGCGGGTTGGGGTGGGGCCACCTTCACCCGAGGCAGGTTCTCTGGCTGCCTGATTCGCACAAGCAGGCGTTCCGTGACACCCTTATGAAATGGGAGTCGGATCCTCCGGATCTTGAGCTCTGTCTGGACGCCCCTGATCTTTTTCCTGGGCAAACCCGCGCCAGCTACGGGAGTGAGGCCCATAGCGTTGGCTTCCATCTGGGGGCGTATTTGGTCTAGACTTAGGCAGCCTGTGGCCGGGAATTGGGGACCGTCTCTCAATAATGATTCCTTCTGGGGGGGTTCAGGGCAGACCTGTGACAGAGCAGGGCATGTGCACACTATCATTCAGCGTTTTGCCAGGCTCAAGGGCGTCTCGGCAGCCAGCGGGCGTCTTGATTTGTCTAAGTATTATGAGCATACTTCACATGAAGATCTTTTAAGGGAGGCGCTTGCCACGGGGTTCCCAGTCAGACTCCTCAAGTGTCTCTGTGCAGGGTACAGATAGCCCGGACGAGCTAGGTGGAAGTCTTTCATCTCGGACCAGGTCCGAGCCAACGGCACGGTGGCGGCAGGCTGCAGTTGTGCCTTAGCGCTGGCCAAGCTTCTAGTGCATACAGTGATCGTCACTCTCAAGGCTAAGCATCCCATGGTGAGGTTTCAAAACCTAGTAGACGACTGCCTGCTTCAGGCGATTGGAGGCAGGCAGAATGTGTTAGATCAGCTGCCTCAAGCTATGTCTGAATTAGTTGAGCCCCTTCAGCATAGGCAACTCGTTGTTAACTGGGATAAGACAGGCTACATGACCAGTTCTGCGGAGCTGGATTTGGAGCTAAAAGAGCGCTGGAGCCTAGGCCACGAGCAAAAGGTTCGTAGCAGCAGGTGTTTAGGTACGGGCGCCACTGACGGCGCGTCGAGGAGTGTTTAAGAGCAGAACAAAAGGTTGGCCAAAGCGTCATCTGTATCCAAGCGCGTTTTTTTCGCTCAGGCAGGCAGGAGCTAGTGTCAGCACTATTATGAGGGGGGTCTCCTACGGCGACGGCGATGTGGGGGGCGGCGGTCACTGGCATAGCTGACACTAAGCTCGCCGCCTTGAGACTGGCTTCGCTGCGCGCAGAAGGGAGAGTCCCTCCAGGAACCTCTGTTGCGCTCCGTTTGAGGTCGACGCAGCGAGGGTCCACCAGGGACCCCTGGATCGTGCATGTCTGTGATGTGGTCAAGCATTGGACGTTGAGTGTCCATTCCTGTATGCCAGGCATTGGTCCGCAGCGAGCTTGTCTTGAGGAAGCGCAGCCGCTCCTCTACAAGGCTCGGCCATGGGCACAGGTAGTAGATCCAGCCCAGGCTGCAGTCTTTTCGCCCGCCAGGATTGGGCGCCAATTGCCTGATGTAGAAATTATGAGGCATCCTCGCCTTGGGGACTTCAGGATCATGGATTTTTCGCTTGGCTTTTTCGTGGATTTGGTTCGGCCCCTGGCCCTCCAGGCGTCGGACGTCAACGCCTTGAAACGTTTGAAGGCGCCCTGGGCCCACCCGTTGCATTGGGGCCCTGTCGGCAAGCTACTCGGGCAGGACTATTCTGAAGCCTGGGGTACGCACCGAGCAGCTGCCATCAGAAGCCTAGTAGGAGGGTCACACTGGCCTCAGGCGCGCCTGCACGCGCACGGCAAGGCGGTGAACGAT